TTGTGAACTAAAATTTAAACGTTCATAAGTACATATATATTATTATATGTATACATACATATTGTTATATATATATATATATATATTGTTATATATATGATACTTAATATTTTTCGATACTCTGATACTTTGAAATTTGTCGATATTATTTATGATCATTTTTATAGTTTTATTTCAAACATATATGTACATATATACTAAATATTTCTACGATTCTTCTTTAATTATAATAATTAATACACGTTAAGTTCTCTTTTCATTGTTTTGTGGTCTGTAAAAAGTAGCGCCAAGTTAATTAACATATTGTAAGCAAAAACTCAGACATAATAATTTTCTTGTGATCTCACTTCGAAATTTTACACTTAGCGAACTCTTAGCAAAAACGTTTTAATATTTCTTTACATACATTGTGTTCCGTTGTAATTAATATTAACAATTATGTTCATGATTTTAAACCTTCATTTCATAAACATCTTTTCCAAATAATAAAAATAATGCCTTACATTGTACATATATTTTCTTATGACTCATGACATTATATATTTTCATATACGAGTATGTAAATATTTTATATATATTGCAGGTCACGCGTAGATTTCCAAAAACAGTCATCATTATTCTTCTAACCGTGGCCTTCGAACGTTTTTCATTTTCACTAACTAGAGGTACTCAACTTTTTTACTTTAAACCCATTCTCTATTACATATTATGATATATAGAAACAAATATGAAAAATCTTATTCCTTTTTCAGCTGTTCTTACACTTTATTTGAGAAGTAAATTAGGTTATTCAGACGAAGTAGCTACAGAAATTTATCATATGTTCACAACTTTCGTTACTTTCTTTCCTATTGTTGGTGGAATTTTAGCCGACAATTATTTTGGTAAATTTAAGTAAGTACGTAATATTCATTTTATATTTATTTAATTTCTTCTCCTTATTTTAATATTGTTTTAGAACTATAATGTATATTATGTTTGTATATGCTGCTGGAAATATAATATTAACTGTGGCAGCTGTTCCGAATATAGAGATACCAAAAAGGTAACGAAAATTTAATATCAATTTGTCATAAAAAATATTATTACTTCGCCTGCTGCTGCATCTTTGATCGGAAAAAAATAATATTGGTTGTTTGTTTATATTTAAGGATTTGTTCTATCATTGGTCTTTTCATTATAGCTCTTGGCACAGGCGGCATACGACCCTGCATAAGCGCGTTCGGTGGCGATCAGTTTGTTTTACCCCAGCAAGAAAAACACTTGACATTCTATTTCAGCATCTTATACTTTAATATTTGCATAGGAGGATTAGTTGCGAAGACAGTGGCTCCTATACTACGATCTGACGTGTATTGTTTTGGTGATAAAGACTGTTATCCCCTACCATTTGGAGTTTCAGCCGTGATTATATTAATTTCAATAAGTAAGTTTAAGTTCCCTTCCTAATTCATTGAATAAAAGAATAAAAAGAAACATATGTATATGTCATAGACTATTAATAGGTCTGTTTCCATTTTCTTTAATGACATAGATCTTGTTGGAACTTTTCAATCTGATCTTACATTTTTTTATTATTATATGGAATATTAATATTCAGTTTTATATTTAAAAAATGACGAGATTAATTAACATAACACGTATTGTTTTATATAGTTATATTTGCCAGCTCCAAAAATTGGTATGTTATGAAGAAATCGGAGGGTGATAGAGTCATTCGTTTCGTGAAATGCATATTGGTATGTATTTTAAAATAAAAAAACAGTTTTAATTTGATAACATCTAAGTTACAAGCTGTTACGATTTCAAATATTGAAAGTACACTTGTAAAATTTCTTTAAAAACTTGCCGTTTTTTCGAATGAAATGGCCACATCTTAGTTATCCTTAAAGATTTTATTTATTTCGGCAATAAAAAAGTTCTTACAGTAATGAAATTATAAAATATATGTTAATAATAAGTCTTTTGATGTTCATTTGCATTTTTTTGATATATATAGTAAATGTTAATTATTGGGGAGAAAACCGTTATTTTTGATAAAAAAGTACTGTAAAATCACCTCACCTGCATATTGCAATAGCAAATGCTTGCTCGATATAAATATACATTGTTTTTACTTAAATATGTTAATTTTATATCTTGATTTTGTTTAAGTTGGGTGTTAGGAATAAAATATTCAGAAAGAACAGTGAACATCAAAATTGGCTAGATTCCACTGAACCCACGTATGATAGAGGATTTATACAGGATGTTAGAAAGACAATTTCTATCTTAACAATGTTCACTACTCTTCCAATGTTTTGGGCACTATTGGACCAATTGGTAAGTACAGTTAGTTATTTTTAATATTCTTAATGTCATGTTCGTTTGTTGTCATATTGTAAGTCATCAAAATAGATAAGTCATAGTCTATTACTGAAAACTATTGTTATTATCGCAGCTTAGCAAACGAAGCTAACATTTAATTGCCGTATAATCTCTTAACGTAACAATTTTATTAAGGGTTCGAGATGGACGCTACAAGCCACTAAAATGAACGGTCGATTTGGATATATTACAATCAAACCGGATCAGTTGCCTGTATTTGACACTATATTTATTCTCATTCTCATTCCACTCTCCCAACAGGTTAGAGTTTCAATATTTCTAATAAATATTAAAATCAAAAAATGCTTGATAATTCAATATCGAAATGGTGATATTACTAAAATTCTGCTTTCAGTATGTATACCCGTTTCTGACAACACGTTCGATACTCACAAATCCACTACACAAGCTGACTCTAGGTGGAGTATTGGCAGCGCTAGCATTTATCTTTTCCGGAATCGTTGAGATTTATATTAAAGTAAGCTTTGTAAGGCTTCCGAACTGTATATAGCATTGTCATTTTGGAATGCATAGGTTTATTCTCTATTAATATTTATCATTTCGACAACTGTAACATTTCAGACAACAGACCCTGTACTGCCTGAACCCGGATTTTCACAACTCCGTATATATAACGGCAACCCTTGTTCAATATTAATTCAAAATGACCAGCAAAATATAATGTATACTATTCCATCTCTGTCACATTTCACTAACAAACAAATGAACGTGAAAAATACGACGGAGGTTCGATTAAGATTTGATGGGAGTTGCATCGAAGCCCAAGATGAAATATTTTCTTTGGAAGACAATATGGCTATATCGTTTTTTATATCTGGCAATAATATTGAAAGGTTTACAGAGAATGTGGATAAAAGTAAATCTGGTCTACCAGTTGTTAGGTGAGTTTTTATTGCTAAGAAAATAGAAAATAGGCATTTGTGCAGTTGATTAACACTAGAGATACTCCAGTGAAGATTGATCTCTTAATTTATTAGATTTTTTTTGTACATTTAAGTGTTCACCATGCTTTTTACTTCTCTCCAGCCACAGAAATAATCTGAGAGGAGATGAAAACAAACACTTTTTTTATGATTTTTATAATAAATATTCGAATATCATGTATTTTTAAACTTTATTTCTTGCTTAGTTTATTATTTTGGGAACATTTAATCATTTCAAACATAGCAACTAAACTATACAAAATACAATAATGCCATCAATAGGTTACAAAATGTATAAAAAACAAAGAGTTTTTAACGTCCATCTAAATATATGTATGTGACGTCATAAGGAACCAATCACTTCCCTGTACTGGTAGGGGTCAATATAAGTCAATATAATTAGTACTGATGAAGCATAAGTCGATAGCAAACACCTATAAAACAGAGCTATGTGTATTATATAAGGTATGGGTATAAGACTGGGAAATATCAAAAGCGCCGTTAAGTCTTATCTCATGCGTGCTTACTATGCTATACCAAAACGATTTTGGGAAATTTGTCAGCAACCGTCATTAAATAGGTCGTAACAATTACCTAATTGGCCCTGCCTAACGTCTAACGTGTCTTGAAAAATATTTCGTCTTCTTAATTAAAAAGATAAAAATAAGAAAATGCTTTAATCACGGGTAATTTCAAATGATCTGAACTGTTTATCTTTAGATTTTTTTACGTAGCTGTTGTAACAATAACAATGTAATAATTCAGCAGAAACTTATGCGTTAAAAGGATTTTCGAACTCATTGTATGCCAGTTACCATTTTTATTTAGATTTCCTTCAAAACGTAGGATAGAATATCGAATTATTTATCAAAAAATATGTTTAGCAGATAATAACTTAAAAAAATGAACTAACTATTATTAAACTTTGGCTCGACGTAATAATATAGTACAAATAATAGATTTGACTTCTAGAATTTAAGTAAATATATATGTGTGTGCGAAAAACAAGTTTTGGATAGTGACACCACATACTAGCCGTTTCCAGTTGTACATTGACAAATGTTATCACATCTTACTATTAATGATGGTTATTAGATGAAAAACGGGGAACGCTTTGTAGTATGATGACGTAAACATGTTAAACAAATTGCGCTCAATTTTTATGAGTAAAATAACTATGTAGTTTAAGTTAAAACTAAAAAATTCTCCCAAAATTTTTTAACAACTTGTGTGTAACATTATAACATTAAATACGTGCCTATGTTATTAAAAGGAACTGGTATTTTAGATTTCTCTTAACAGATAATATTGAATCAAATTTGAGTCTTTTTAATGAAGTTCATAAAGAAGTTGAGGTATATCTGTCAGCTGGAATTACTTCACAAATGGAAGTATTTATGGCAGAATACTATAAGAGATGGTTATACGATAATTGCTCGTGATATAAAAATGGATAATGGTGGAGTATATAACATTATAATGGACAAAGTTGATAATAATTACGTGAGTTAATTTGGTGAACAAACCTTTATTTAAGATCTTACAATATTTTAGGAATTAATCAAAATCAATGTTGGTTTTTAGTATGAAACGATGTTTATTGGTTGTTTGAAAAGATAAGACTTATTAAAGTAGTAAATTTTTCAGGAAACGAATATGGTAACTATAACACAATCCAACTCTATAACAATGGCGTTGTTGTTACCACAGTTACTGATGATCGCTATAGCCGAGGTAAATATTATATTTGTATAAAAGATGTTTTAGTGACAAAAAGTGCTTTTTGCAAAATCGTAATATAAGATAACTCACAGGATAGCTTTTCCATAAAGAAACTGCTCCGAGTTAGGTGAATTGACTATGTTTAGGGTAATAGAATTGTCCGTTTATGCAATTTTCAGGTGTTGTTTGCTATTACCGGTAGTGAGTTCATATTCAAAGAGGCTCCGGAGACAATGAAGTCGGTGATGACTGCTGCCTGGTTGATAATTGAAGCTATAGGGAATATTATCATCATCGTTATCACAAGAATTTTTATCGATTATTCACAGGTTAGTATAGTTTTATTAAAACATAATATCAGGCTATAAGCGATGTCCGCTGTTAGTTTATTTCCAAAGATGTATAATATTATACGTTTTTTAGGAAACTCAAACTTTTATTTATGCAGGACTGATGTGCGTTTCAATATTGATATTTCATTTAATCTCCAAGAGTTACCAGTTTCTTATGTCTGACGAAGTTAAGACTGAAGAAAATAGTGAGCAGTAATATTCAGTATAACAAAATGAGTTCAATATGAAACTCGTGAGTCATATGTTAGTATAACGGAACTTATTATTGTAAAATTTATATAATTACCTGTCATAGTAATTTATCGTTATATAATATTAATTCTCATATTATTAATTATAAGTTTATTATTTAATAAAGCAAAAGCACATATACCTATGTGCTTGTGTCATATAAATATTTTATTTGATACAGCAATAGATAAGTTTTGATGAGCATTTATGTTTTATTCAAATGAATGATTAAATATTTTTATAATATTTCTTTAGACTTTTTTTTTAATATTGTAATTTTTACACTTCCAACATTTATCCCACGAAAATGAAGTTAACTATCCTCTATTTACTATATATAGTAAATACAGCGCATAAACCTATTGACTAATAAACACTAGTCATATGTCATAATAAGGTGATTCTGTCAAAACTAATATTATAATTATATATTTACTAATCAGAAATTAATGTTCAACATTAAATTTTGTAAATAACAACGTGCATGTGAATTAAGTAATACTAATATGTTCCGTCACATATTCACACATACATGGCAGCGGTTTAATTTGTCGGGTTTTGTATTAAATTACAACATATTGAATAGCACCAGGATTAATTGTATTTGAACATGTTTCTCATTATATTACATGGGTGATATTCATTTGTTACTGATATTTATCCGATATAAACATCATTTTTCTTTATATGCGCTGTAAATTTTATTATGGTTTTTAGATACTACGCTTTTTTATTGTTTAATAAATTATAATACCGATGTGTCGACGAGATGAAAGTGTGACACTTTCGTGATGGTCAGCTTGTGACCACGGTCACTGTAAGCTAACCGAAAGGACGGGATTATGTAGTTACAAAATATTAAAAAACGTAATATCCAAAAAACTTAGTTTTATGTAAATGAGTATACTGGAATGTTTTAGATATCATTAATTCTTGGAATATCAATATTTCTGGATTTAAAATTCGCTTTGAAAGAACTTCTACGACGAGACTTAATTTTTATTATTCACAGTTGTCGCTTTCAACTAATTCTTTGAGTTATAATACGTCCTGTTGGAAATAACATTTGGTGTCAAATATACATATAAAGTGCAACATAATCTGTATCTAACATTACTTTAACTACAGTTTGTTGAAAAGAAAAATTTAACGCTTAGACTAAAAACTTGAAGCCATTTTTATGATGACCATTATCTTTGTCTGTAGCCTTCAAAAACTACCAATTTATGAAAATTGGACTCTATGAAAGACGAGGGCAAGCCGCAAGAGGAGTTTTGTAATTAAAAAATGGTCATTAAATGAAATATTTTTCTTCACTTTTAAAACGAGGATTTGTAAATAATGTATTAAAAATAAAATTTATTCCACTTATATTAATTTTGCAATAATATTTAAAAAAAATAATCTTTCCTTCCATTAGAAAAGTATATATATCAGATGTATGTTATTATATTATAAAGATTATATTCATTTAAATGAACTTTATTCCATACGATACCAGTTATAATTAACTCTCCTAAAATCGAGAGCTCAACACGGTAATAGTTTTTTTTTTTGCCTGAACTATTTGAAACCAGAGGAGAGGCAAAATACACAAAGGAGTGTAACTGCTACTTCGGATTTGTTTGAAGCATCGTTTGATGCTTCAATCATTATGTTGATAATTTTTATAGTGTATATGAAATTTGTTTATACATACCAGGTTTTACCTGCCACTTCCTTCGCGTTAATTCCGGAATTGGTTATATGTGTATATATATCTGACCGGGCGAATTCTAGTCCGCTCTAGAGGCCGTATACCAGATATTGTAATTTTTTTACAAAAACAAAATTAAATATCCTATGTCCGTTTCTTCGTTCTAAGTTATCGCCCTGCCAATTTCCAACCATATCCCTACAGCCGTTCTTGAGTTATAAATTGTGTAACTATCACAAATTTCTTTTATATATATGGATAACATCCTATGTAGAAATTACAAAAATCATTATTACATAATCACACTATCTTGATTCCTTCTAACGGGAAAGTTTAACTATATCATACTTATATAATAACAAGAATTTTTGATAATTTTGCTCCCTACACAGGTCTCAGGCACTGTTGAAGCCCTTCTAATCACAACGCGATGGACAGTTCATTAAAAAAAATCAAAAATACTTTATATTTTATGACAATTTCAAACTACTGCTATATATATACCTTATTGCTTATGCATACGATATGTGATTCAAGTTATGTTTACATTGTTCGAATGAAAACATATGTGACGGGTTAAGTAAAAACTATCGTCATAAAATACTTGTAAACATTAGTATCGTGTTAATAATTGAAATTTAGTATCGATCGTTAATAATTGAAATTCCTCAGTGAAAATATCTCAATCCTTCCTCCAAGTGGCGAATTATTTGTCACTGACATAATTATAAAGGATTCATGTTTCTCACATCATGTTGGAATCTCTAACAATATTTGATATTGTAAATTGATTTTCTTTTTAAAAATACAAAATATCTATCATTGCATTGATATAAATTGCTTGTTCATGTTCCTTATAAAGAAAAAATTAAGACCGATAATTTCACATATCTCAAAGTAATGAACTTCCAAAAAGTAATGAAAAAAAGCTGTTTTTGAGAGTCTTTTAGTTCATTCATAAGGCAAGATTTTTATCAACAGTGATAGAATTACTGTTTATCTCACTGTTACATGGCTTAATTGTATTGGAGGTGTACTTACACAATTGTATTTCTTGACATTAATTATTTATATATTAATGAACCATAGCGTATTATTTTGCTTAACTTGAATAAAGATGAATGTAACGTCTATGAACTTTACAATAATTATTATTTTAATCCTAAGGGAGTTTGTCAACTCACAAACTTAATTTAGGGTTCTCTTCATCAAAAAAAAAAATATCTTCACATTGCTGTTATCCTATTCGACAAACCACTATATTATATTGTTTCTTATCTAATATTATCTTTTCATATTTTCGGACTTCCCTATTATTTAATAGTGAGCACTAAGTGCAAATAAATCCTTAACATAATAAAATCTGCTCGTAGGACTCTCCAAAATGCTAAATAAAAATGTATTGACCCTAGCTTATTGCGGGTGACGTATTTAGATGATCAACTGTCGCTGAATTCGGAACTTGAGCGTTTTCGTGAAAAGCTAAAAAACAGTGGAACAATGAATACCTGATTATCTATTATTGAGATGAGTACTATGAAGTCTAATATATGTAGTTTCAAAGAATGTATAAGTTTCAGAAGAACGTCATTGAGACCATTACTTTATCTTGATAGTTAGAATGCCCTGACAGGATTTGCTTTTGCTTTTTGCTTAACACCATCTCCTGCTTAATGTTTAAATTATGATTTTAAATAATTGTAAGGTTATATTCTTTCTTTCCTCATAACGATATATAAATTAAATGATCCATACTGCCCAAGTTAAGTTAAATGATCTATTATCTTCATTATCAATGGGCAGTCAAGTTGAAAATGCGTTGAGGAAGCTCACAATACTTACGTCTCATTATAAAGATCGCCATTTTCAACATTCAAATCATCTTACAATTTAAATAAAATAATAAAAATGATTAGAATTTCTAAAAACTATTTTAATTTTAAATATATCACTTATTACTCATACATATTTAGTTGGATTAGATAGTAAAAATAATAACTTTAAAAAAAAAATGAGTAAAATGAAGCTGAAATATTAAAAAATGTCAAATTTAAACTGTTTTTAGACTTGGTAAAATGTTTTCCTTAGTAAAAATAGTAATGAAATAAAAAAATTAAAAGTTTTCAATGTTCCATTCGCTGGAACCAAAAGTAAAAATGCAAAACCAAAGCCTATTCTTATAAAAAATAGAGAACGTTAATAAATTGTGATAACAGAGTGTTTCAAATGGATTCATGTCCTTTTTTGTACTTTTAAATTTACTTCTTATTTAATCCTGTTGTAGTATATCACTATGTTTTGATTTTGTATTGTATGGGTTTGTATCACTTTAATGTTTAATGGTTAACAGCTTTTAACATACATTACACTTACAACTGAGCATACTCGTCATATTTTACGACTTTTATAATAACGAATTCTTGGAAAATTTTTGTTATTTTGCAATACTCATGATCACGGCTGTAGATGACAAATAACACGACCAACTACAATTTCATCTCGTCTGCCCGAATTTATATAGCGACAACTTTTAATAATTACATATTTTATAAAAGCTCATTTCAATGAAACCTTATCTCTCTTTATAATTTTTCTAACGTGTCCCTGTAAATAAAACTTCGGGCTTCGACTTTTAAACAGCAAGCTACTCGTTATAATGATAGTATTCCAAATGATGTGGCTTAACTAGCATTTCCTTCACTGGGTTAGTTTCTTAAAATAAAATGATATCATCATATCCAGATCAGCATCTATTAGTTACAAGTAGGTCATGTAGTATAACTTCCAAGACACAGTTCGCAGTTTAATATTTCCTTATCATCTTTCAGTCATTTATATATTCACTCAAGTAGCCGAAACGTCTCGAGTATGTAGTTTTTTTTACAAAAAATAAACCAATCATAGTATATCTGAGAAATATTAGTTTCATTCAAATGAATAAAACTCGCGAAAATCTTAGATCTCATTATATTTCAGTCATTCCATGCTGTTCATGTTTTCTTTAAGTCTGAACCGCCACAACATGTTCCTTTCTGTTGAAACCATTTGTAGGATAAAAGTTTTTTCACCATTATTATTGACGTCAACGTATCGAGATACATTATATCAATACTACGTATTCCATTTTATTATTTTATACGAGTACTTTTGACTTGTTAAGAAATTTTCCAATTATACGCGTTATTTTCTATTATTACTTCTAAGTTTGTTGTGCGACAACTTGTAACTTAATTTCTAAAGTACACCACTTAAAACTTCTTTATATTTAA